GAGCCAAAAATACCATAGTGCTTAGTAGTCATTGGCGCTTCGACCCGCGTCGGCTATGAATACATATTTAATATCAGGTCCGTGTCTGATGTCTGAGTTTGGAGCCAAAAGTGAAAAAGGCGACGATAGTACGCGCCATCATCGATAGATTCACGGGAAGAGGGTGAGGTTCGTGATTGCTTGCGGAGGTACGAGATTCAGCAAGCAGTTGGCAAACGGATAGCTTACCTGGTAGCTCATGTGTTCACGATGGTCCAACCCTGAAGACAATGGACCATGAGCTCTATGGCACTTGATCTCGCACTTAATCTCGCTTTATAAAAATTTAGCAACTTGCCGCTGCGCAAAGCCTTTTCCTCCACAAACCGGGCCTAAGAAGCTGAGAAGCTTATGGATGCGCGTAGATACCGCTCATTCCACAAATCATCTGGTCAATAAATCTAACTAATATAACCCCTTAGATAGCGAAGGCTCTTCCTTATGTTTTCTCCTATCTGATGCGTACCTGGTGGTGCGTAGGCTGCATACTAAGTATAACACGAGCTTACTCGAAAGAGCAGTATTACGGGGCTGACGGCACCAGGTCTATGTTACCCTGGTACAGCACGTAAACCGCAAGATGTAAACAGTCCGAACGTATATTTGAATTTCAGCTACAGTCATTTTCGCTCGGTATATACGTAGATATGCGTACACAAGTCTTAGAATTGAGGACGAGCAGAAGTTTTCTCATAGAGCAAAAAGGAAGAGCAAAAGGGGAAAAGGGATGCGGTGGGTGTGGATCGAACACACGGCCTTCAGATTAATGAATGAAGTTGACTTCAGTCTACCTATGTTTACTTAGTTAATCTTGCTATAGTGAATTCGCGGGTTGCTGGTCCAGGTAGGTAATCTACCTACCTAGTAACGTTCTCTCAGCTGAACTATCCCCGCTTCATGAAAAAAATATTACTCGCCATTCATCAATATGACTTGGGCAAAGGGATGGAAATACGCGTGGATGAGAGTAGGTGACTATGATAATGTGGGAATTGCATGGTTGGTTTAAACCGTCTTAACTAAGCCACAACCCTGAGCCACCATATCCTAAACCGCCACAAACTCTCCTAAGCCGAGCTATCCCCGCTTAATGATGCCTCGGAACTTTATTGGGGAATTTTCTGAATTGAGTATTATTTACGACTTGTAACCTAGAAGAGACTGTGGGAATGGATGTTAATGTATTGGAAAGGGTGGTCTGGGGACCGTAAGGGACCTAGGTAAATACTGTGAGTGTCTAACGCCTGCCTCATGAGTGCCTTACGCACTGTAACTGCCCCAAACTCTTGTTTGTTGTATGTTGCCGTGTAAGTTGTATTTATCTCCTATCTCCGAAAGTTAAACAGCCAAAGCTAGCTGCGCAATTGAGTTCGAAATGACAGTATCATTGTCGTGTGTAAACCAAGAAAAAAAAAGAGGACTCAGGCTTCGGTCTGTGTACACGTAAGAACATTTAGGCACCTGATACGCCTAGGAGAGAATGTCTCAAAAGTATATCGCCTAAAATATCATCAAGCTTATTGGGGGGGGGGGGGGGCCTTGTAGATGGAACTTGATGTTTCCACGTGCCTGCTGTGTTGAGCCAAGCCGCGATTTGTTGATATTGTGAGTAAGCGATTGATAAATTCCGTGCCCGGAAGTTAACTTAACATTAGGCAAGCCTTGCCAAAAGCAGAACCTAAGTGTTTAGTATGTAAATAATGAATCGGAAGCCCTAGCCGAGTCCTACGAAGAACGGCTTCTTGCATTGTAACCGTCAGCTGAAGGTTCACCCACGGTATCGAGTTGAAATACCCATGCGAGCTGCCGCGTGGTAGGATGCCGCGAATACGAGTCCTAAAAGGTTGGTTTCCGGGGTACCTCACGAATATCGAGCACGGTACCGGGGCTGAGCGTTTAGATAAGGCAATAGGTTCATGTCGCTTTCCTTCTGAGTCAAAAATGTTGCGCGTGGAGCAACCCCTGTAATCCTGACCAGGATCCCTCTCATCAAATCCTAAACAAATGAGGTTTGGAATAAGGAAAGATATAACCTTGCGAAGATTTCCCGTGCCGATTGGGGTGTTGGGGGTCCTGAAAGTCAAAATCGAAAGTCTATAGTCTACATACAGTAGTGTTTTGACTGATAAAGTTTGATGATCAGCAAACCTACATAATCGAGGGCTTAATTTCTAATAAAATCATGAGCTGCCCATTTAAGCCCGTATGGACTTCTTGATGTAGAACCTGAGTACGTACGTAGTAGCAGACAGGAATTACCTCAGATGATGACACCTTGTCAGGTTGTTAGAGGATGAAAGGATAGAGCCTTATTTCATACCACAATGAACTGGAGCCACGATAGAGGTCAGGCCAACGACGAAGTAGAACATCAGGCGCTGAACATCTGAAAGTCTATTATTTCTCGATTTCTTGATTCTGTTTTCCTTGTGAGGCTGCAGGTCACTCAACCTCTGGCTGAGGCAAGGGGTCAAACGTAGAGCAAAGTCGCCTTTCAGACACGAACTTTGCGATTCCGCTGAGGAACCTAACATTGTTATAATATCCGTCCGTCTCGATAATTTTGAGCAGAATTCGTTATTGGCGTGTCCTGGAATCCTAAGAGGGCACCCTTTTTAGGTTGTTTAAATGTGACCGAAAGTCTGGACTCTCTAATCCCTAACCTTACAACACTTTCGTCTTGGTTGGTCGGCTGAACTTTGCTGATTTGCTATGCAAGTCCGCCTCAGGCTCGCTTATCAAGGTTATGGTTAAGTTGACGTCGCCGCCATAGTATATGTCGTGAATGAGCTAAATAGCGAATACCAATAGCGCTGCTAGGAATCGAACCCAACTCACTATTTAGCTCAGACGGTAAGTGTCGTATGGTAGTAGAATTACCGTATTCATCGTCCCCGTCCTTTTCCCCGGCCCCTCCCGGCCCGTCTACCTCTCTTCGCCCTCGGCCGTAAGTTCGTGCTTTGATATAGTAATTCCTCACCGAACGCCATCTCGCCAAACCTCATATAGCTAATCAACCCGCGGTCCACAATTGCTATAATGGCATTTCGCCATCCATGTTTGAGGCGCTTATATACAAATCCTGCCCCTGGCTTGCCATTGTCTGTGTTCGGTGGATCCCACGGCGTAGACAAAAGCAAAGTATCCAGCTGCTCGAGCATCGGGACGCTAGAGTCGCGGGCATCCACAACAGCAATCTGAAAGTCAGGCAGCGGTGGTTTTGTCTTCGAAAAGGTCGATGTGCTCTTCCATATATTGAAATGGATTTTGAAGGGGTCTTGAGGTTGGGGGACTTCTGATGCTGCAAGGGGAGTCGGCCTGTGTCGCTGTACAAGGACCAGATACTCGAAAATACGCGCATATGAGCGATATAGACCTGGTCTCACCAGTGGCCCGTATCCTGGATGGTTAGAGTTCCCAGCAAAAGGGCTACTCGCGTTTTGTATAAGCGAAAAAAGCCATTGCCAAAGTGGACGGGGTGCCTGAAAGGAGGATATCTGAGGTGGTAACGGCGTTGCTCGCAAGACTCTATAGCCTGTACGTCTGAGATTGGCGTAAACTTGGTATTTTTCGAGACTAATCTTCCCTCTTTCTCCATCTCGCCCAATAAAGAGCGCATATGCAGCTTGCAAGCTCAGAGGGATACCGGGCTCATAGTCCTCAAGCTGGTCCGGCTTCACCAGCGTTGCCTCGGGATCCCCATCCGCCGGGAAAATCTCCTCGATTCCTCGTACTGGCCACCATAAGTCTAGCGTCCCCCTTTCGATCAGGAACAGGGCTTCTTCCGGCAATAGCCATGTCTTCAACCACCCTGGGCTGAATTTCTCGGCGCTCGTAACGACGCGGCCCATCGACGATAGCATGGTACCTGCATCCGATTCGAGCGCAACGACCCGTTCCCTTGCTTCGAGGCCCCAACCCGAGCCACGACCTTTCGTCGCCCGATCAACGGTGTGCTTGCCGGTCGCGGCTTCACTCGGCAACTCGCTTTTCGGCGTCATCTCAGCCCACCGGTCGGGGAAGTACCATCCGCGCGAAGAATTGCGAGGTTGGTTTTGGCGTGTATAGCTCAATACTTCGTGCATGGCAGAGCGGCTGGACTCGAGGACACCCTCCTGTGCGCGTGTGCCATGCGACTCGAAGTCCTTCTCACCGCGCCGTATGGCCTTGCTGGCAGCCTGTGATTTCTTCTTGCCGGGGCCCCCGAGAAGCGAAGAGAAGAGCCGAAAGTCTTGGGCCTGATCGCCGTCTTCAGCGTCAGAGGGGGAGTCATCATTGACGGAATCGAGCGACGCGGGCGTCAAGTCTTCGTCGTCGAATGGCATCGTTTCGCTCGAACAAGCCGGTCCAAGATTGAGGGATACGGTCAAGTTGGCCGCCAACCGACTTTTCGGGCGATCTCGCGTCGCTAGGTTCTCCTGTAATGTCTTCAACGGGTAGTGTTTAGAGCGTGGGAACAGGTAAAGGTTTAGAGTTGTTGTGTGGTAATAAGGAAGAACGGAGACCAAAAATCGAGGCTGGAGGGAGGAAGAACTTGGAAGCTCGGGTGAACTAGCACCTGCATGGAGGGCCCTACGTACATAAGGTACATACCTAATGTTAGGTACTTAGGTAAGGTACTTACCGTGATTAGCAACCCCACTATCCACTTGAAGCTCTAAAGATAACAGTAGTGAGAGGCAGTGAAAGTTAGAAGATTAAAACGAAGATGTTATTTTATGCCATATATTTATGCGTTATCCCTTAGCAAACCATGCTATCAAGCTTTAAAAAACTATATGTAAAAGGGCATATAAAAACTAGCGTAAATAAACAGACCTTAAAAGTAGTTATAATTAAGTGACTTTTATATATCACCTAACCTTACTTATATAGCAAACCTAAATGCTACTCCTGATTGCAACAACATCTACTTGAAAGGAATAGATGCAAAGAAAATAATAGCAAAAAAAAAGAAATCTTGAGAGCTGCAGGATTCGAACCTGCGCGGTTTCCCACTGCGGGATTCAAGTATTCCAATGCAGAATAACCTAAACACAGCGCCTTAACCACTCGGCCAAACTCCCAGACAATTGATCAGCTAATGGTTATTTGGCATACATGTCTCAATCACCGTAAGCCCTGCAGGTCTATTGTTGATGGTTGCTCATTGGCCAGGGAAGATTAACACCATCGAGCCCGGTGTCACACGGTTCCAAGGGCAACAAGTCATACGCCAGATCATTGAGATTTATCCAAGCTATTTATCAACTGTATTCAAACCGACAAGGGTTCGTTTTTTATGTTTCACAATATGTGCTAACGTTTAGAACCTGAACAGAACACTCGGGCGTTTACCTAGTGGATACTGACCGTAACCTTACCTAGGTACAGTAATGTGTGGAGAAGAATCTATCGATCATGCACTATTCCGTGGAGGAACCCTCCTGGGCTACGAGGGATCACAACATCCCACGGGAAGCTTATCATAAGTAACCCTGACGCACAACCCTAGGAATATAATGACACACCTGCACCAAATGCCAGCAAACTATCTTATAGGGTCCGCCATCGTTTGATTTGTTGCTGGCTGCTGACCTTCTACGGTTTTGATTGGATCAAAAGATAATGTTGAATTGCTGCTTCGGATGTGAGGACTGGGTTGGGGCGCGTAATATGGCTCCCAACACTCGGCCAGAGATAGAACGAACAGGTTACTTCATTAGGGTGTTGGACCTATTGCTCTAGAAGCTGTAGGTGAGCAGTCATATCTCTAGCTCGTATCAAATCGTTAATTTGTGACGCATGATCAGACCAAAAGAATAGTTTGAATTAGCTTTATATTGTCATTCAATTCGTCTCTCACCTGTGCAGTGAGCTAGAACCGGCAGTCCTCGCTTATACGAAACGAACCGTGTTCTTACACTCACTAGGGGTATTGCATCGTCAGGACGACAGTAATTCAGTTTCCCTCCCGGTCCGCTAGGTATACCCCATGGACGTCTTTAGAAGGAGCCCTAGCTACCCAGAACGCATCCATACCCAAAAGCGTCATCAGACATACCGCTAAGAAAGCCACCCCATCCGGACTTACGCCAGCATAGCGAGGTATGCGTGTGCGCATGTCGGCCGCCTTGGAAAAAGCATATAATATAATTCGTGGTATGTCAGAGTACGCTCTAACCCGTCAAGACGCCTAGAACGCCCACGATACCGATGCACCTTTGGTCCTTCAACAGTATGCTTCCCAAACTTTAATCGTCCCAAACGCCCTCAAGCCTATATGTCGAATCGTCACGTCTCATGTGTTTCGGAGGCCGGGAAGAAATCAGTAAGGACAAGAACCGTTGGTTTCTTTGACCCGGCCCTATGGTCTTTTATCCCCACCGTAGTCCTAGGCTGTTGCCTAATGATTATGAGAAGGGTGGCGGTAGCCTACCAAGCTATCTCGCTTTTCAACGACACCTGCACTCGCTTCAGTTCTGACAGCGAATGGACTTCCACAATCCAAGATATTTGAATAACTGTAGATCCAAATATTACTCTGCGGAGCAGGGGCCAGCCAGTATCCTATTCCGAGTAACGGCGGCAGATGTATGACGCGGCACCATGATAGTACCACCGGATAGTTCAATTTCTCGACTGGGGTTGGAGGATCGAGGTATTCGCAAACCAAAATGAGCGCCAAGGTGGGAGCGTCACGCTGGCTGTCGGTGCGCACCAGAGTCTCAGTTGCTCTAATGGCCTTTCCCTGTAGACGAAAACTGCCACTGCTCCTCGTCATACTAACGTTTTCTCTCTCTCTTTCTTTCTTTCGGTCATTTCAAGACGTCATACTCAGCTCTTACTCATTCAATCAGGGGTTTCTTCTGGCCCCCTACTAGACACAGCCCTAATGTTGCTAGGGCATTGGGATCGTCGGCTAACACAATATTCCGAGCCGGCAGCATAGGATTGGCCTGATCGACAGTTGAAGCATCTTTCGCTGCTTGTTCAATGGCATCCATCTCTTCTTTACAAGCTTGGTGATCTAGGGGGCAGATCACGATAGGTTGCCGAAGGGTGATATCCCTGGCTGAGGTCATGCTCGCCTTTGAGAGAGGTTGTTAGTAGACGTATATATAGCTTTTAGAGATATCATAATGGCCATGATGGCGCATACATACCTTGATGCTGAGAAAGAATTCTATCTTGTAGAGAGTTGAGGTCGTGGTGAAAGACATGACCTCGTAGTTGGGGAACGCCGGTTGCCCTCTCCGAACAATTCCATTCGAATCCCGTAAGTCCTTATGCGGAAATATGACACCCATGTTCGTCACATAGCCCTCTTCGGGTAATTTCATCCCCACATTCTGGACGTGCTTCTGTATCCGGTTGACCTTCTTCGTTGGTTCATCGCCCTCGGGGTTGTAGGTTATCTCCTCCTCGATGGCCAACGTGATACTCTTTACTGTGACTTTCCTAGCCTTGGCCATCCAGTCCAAATTTGGTGCCAGTTTGATATAGACAGTAATTGGGTCCATAGGGCCATAACTCCATTTCGGTAATGACATAATAAGCTGGACAATGCTGTCAGTGGTGGCAACTTTAGTCTCTGGGCGATTGTACATTCCAAAGGTCGATAATGTGTCGTATCGCTGTAAAGGTGCCGGGAATGCGTATTTATTCTGTATACTTTGGCCCTGCTGTACCGTGACGACCAACTCATAGTACGTTTCAGCAGTCCTACTAGGAAGCTGTAACGACGCCGGCGGTATCCTCCTATTTGTCTCTTCGCCTCCCCGCCCAAAAGGTATAAACAAAACAAACGGCAGGTCCATGGCGATGACATTTGCCGCCTCCCTACCAGACGCGCATCGATATAGCAGAAGCTCCTTGCCAACAACGTCGGTCGTCTCCCGTCGAGGGGTGCCGAGGTGACGTTTGGCTACGTTTTCCGCGGCAGGGTGGATGGTTTCTCTTCGCTGCAGACATATTCGAACGAGGGAGATGGCGACAGGGGCGGAAAAACCTTGTTGTGGGCGAATTTCGACCTTGCCCTCGATTCGCGGCTGCGGGTTTCTGTTAGTCTACCATTCTTCGTTTCACCGCCTTCGGGTCATGAATCGGAAATGAAAGGAGATTGCGGAATCGCAGCGCCGAGCTCCAATGCGACGCCTACAAAAGGGATGGGAAGAGAGCGACGGCGACACAATGCGACAAACACAGCGCCCGAGCCCGGGCGATCACAACCATGATGTACTCACCAACGTCGCGGAAATGCCGGGATATCCGACCAAGAAACTACTATTTGGCGGGCCCGAAACACGGACGAAGGCGGCCACTCGATCCGTCATGTTTCGTCGCACGGGATGTTCGTCATCAAGGTGGTGACGCTGGCGAATATGGATCGGACAATGGTGGGGTTGGGATTCAGTGGCGGCGACAACAGCGGCGCAGTGTTAGCCACATCTATTCCGCGACGACGACCGTGCGCCGGGGGAGCGTCGAGAGCAATGCGATGATCGAATTGTCAGTGTTGGTAGGTCAGGCCAACCACTACGGCTACGACACCTCGGTGTCGGGATATAGGGCGGTATGGCGGGCGGCAGGCGACCGGTGGGTGGGCGTATTGGAAGATCGGGAAGACGTGGTACAGTGGCGAAGGTGGTCGCTAAGGCCCACTGTAACAAAGACGACAGCTAATTTACGGGAGAAGGGGGGCTGGTGGGAAGCCGAGTTGAGATCTGCCGCGTAGCACTCGGGACGATGGGTGGTTTGGTTGATAGGAAGCGTACGGGATGACGGCGAAAGCGGCGGAGACGGGAATGGGGAGAGTAAGTGTGTCGATTGATTGAATGCACCAGTAGATTTAGATTCAGTTTAGTCTCTTAAGGCTGCAAATGAACAGCGCTCCACCATGTTGACACCATGTACTGTAGATTGGACCAGGGCACAACCAGGGCAGCTAGCCAGGGGATGGAAGGAAGATGGGGAAAATCAGATGGTGTGAAGTGACGGGTTAGTGGCCGACGAGAGTGACGCGAGCGGATTAAGGTTCCGTACAGCACACTACACGAGCTCAGTGCACCTAAGCTAATTCCAGCAAGGTCTCCGCCCTGCAGCTGCTCCTCACGATGTTACAAGTCTTCACAGCGACCCTTCTTTTTGTGACACGTGAGGGCAGAGAGCAGAGAGCAATGACGAGTATCTCGGGCATTGCAAAAGAAAAAGAGGCGCAATCATCAGTTTTAGGGCTTGTGCTAAACAAATTATGAACGTCGCTGCGGTGGTGCCGCAGGCTACTATACCTACCACCGCCTATTGCCCTGGGTAAGCATAGAGAGCGAATCTCAAGGGCAATATTCACACTACGCATCAAGGAGATTGGATACCTAGTTGTGCAGCTGAGGTAGGTAGGTATAATAGCTGGTTTTATGGAGTGGCACTGGTCCCGTAGGGTTTTGCTGTGGCCCGACAGGCTGAGATGACAGCAGCACAAAGGTAACAACAAACACCGTATGCCTCTTAACATCTGCTCAGCGATATATGTAAACCACGGTATGATAAAGGCCTACCTACCTAGTAACTTGGAATACCTGCTAGGTCAGTTTAGGTATTGATAGAGATCTTAGATACTTAGCCGACATCCGCTTAGCGATCCAGGATTCTACAATTCCTCGAACGGTGTATATATGTTAGATGTTAAGCTTAGTCTGAAATTAGTATCAAAACTGGGTGAGATAGCTGAAGGACGTCCAGAGAGGCTGAAGTGCTCGAGTTGGCCTGATGGTCAGGGTCTTGCAACTTGGAAGGTCAGACGAGAAGCCCCCGGGCCGGCAGGATACACAGTCAGTAAGGTAAGTGCATACCTACTCTGTACACTACGTCACGATTTTTGCATGTTTAGACTCGATGAGGTCGACCTATAACCTCCCGTGAGCGTTAGGTGGACGATACTCGTATTTATTTGCATTACGACCTCAACCTTGCAAGCTCTTCGCCGCTCATTCTCAATGATCGTCAGGCCGCAACTCCTAAAACACGCTGTCTCTCTTCTGATTTCCTGATTAAGTCGCAAAGGTAACCCCTTGGCGCCTTAACACGT